GGGCCAGCCTAGGCTATATAGTTGAGACCTTGGACAGAGAAAGAATTTATAGGAAGTGCCCAGAAGACCAGATACACTCTCAGGACCCTTTTTTTTTCTTTTTTTCGAGTATTATTCTTATTTATTTATTTATTTATTTATTTTTAAAAAAAACCCTGTCTTTTGCCAGGTGGTGGTGGGGCAGCTCTTGGGAGGCAGAAGCAGGCAGCTCTCTATGAGTTCGAGGCCAACCTGGTCTAGTTCCAGGACAGGCTATAGAGAAACCGTGTCTCAAAAAATCAGATCAAATCAAAACAAAACAAAAAACTGTCTTTTTTCATTATACTTTTTTCATTATACATAAAAAAACTCTTGAGGAAAGTAATCTGAGAGCAGAAAGGCCATGTTTGGGGGGTGCACAGTGGCGCATGCCTGCAATCCCCCCCCCAGCAGAGGCAGAATGGGCATTACAAGCTTGATGCCAGCCTGAATTGTTTAGGAAACTCCAGGCCAGCCAAGGTTGCTCAGTGATACAGCAATACATTATCTTGAAAGACTTAGAGGGGTGGCACTGATTTTGGCTCATGGCTTCGATGCCTAATCTTGATTGACTAGATCTGGAATCAACTAGGAGGTGAGTGAGATTTTCCTGACCGAGTAACTCAAGTGGAAAGATCCACTGCCGGGGTCCAGCCTCGGCTCAGGTTCAGGTTCTGAGATGGGGAAGGGGCGTTGGTGAAAGACAAACTTCTGACCACTGAGTGGATTGCACTCAAGTGGCCCTGAATAGCTCAGGCTGTCTTTATTTATTCTTGGACAGAGATTTTCTTACCAGGGTTACATGAACAGCTTTATTATTGGCTTCTAATTTTGCCTTTAAGAAAGACATCACTCCTAGAGATACAGGGATGGTTCAACATACGAAAATCTGTCAACATAATCTACCATATAAACAAGCTGAAAAATAAAAACCACATGATTATCTCATTAGATGCTGAAAAAGATTTTGACAAAATACAACATCCCTTCATGATAAAGGTCTTGGAGAGAGCAGGGATACAAGGAACATACCTAAAAAAAAAAGGCAATATACAGCAAGCCAACAGCCAACATCAAACTAAATGGAGAGAAACTCCCAGTGATTCCACTGAAATCAGGAACAAGACAAGGTTGTCCACTCTCTTCATATCTATTCAATATAGTTCTTGAGGTCCTAGAGAGAGCAAGACACCAAAAGGAGATTAAGGGGATACAAATTGGAAAAGAAGAAGTTAAACTTTCACTGTTTGCTGATGATACATAACCGATCCCAAAAATTCTACCAAAGAATTTCTACAACTCATAAACACTTTCAGTAATGTAGCAGGACACAAGATTAACTAAAAAAAAAAATCAATAGCCCTGCTGTACACAGATGATAAAAGGCCTGGGGAAGAAATCAAAGAAACAACACCCTTCACAATAGCCACAAATAGCATAAAATATCTCGGAGTAACTCTAACCAAACAAGTGAAAGACTTGTATGACAAAAACTTTAAATCTTTTAAGAAAGAAATTGAAGAAGACATCAGAAAGTAGAACTCTCAAAAGGGGAATCTAAAATGGCTGAAAGACACTTAAGGAAATGTTCAACATCCTTAGTCATCAGAGAAATGCAAATCAAAATAACCCTGAAATTCCATCTTACACCTGTCAGAATGGCCAAGATCAAAAACACTGATGACAACTTATACTGGAGAGGTTGTGGGGTAAAGGGAACATTTCTGCATTGCTGGTGGGAGTGCAAGCTGGTACAGCCCCTTTGGATGTCAGTGTGGTGATTTCTCAGAAAATTAGGAAACAACCTTTCTCAATACCCAGTAATACCGCTTTTGGGTATATATCCAAAGGATGCTCAATCATGCCACAAGGACATGTGCTCAGCTATGTGCATAGCAGCATTGTTTGTCATAGCCAGATCCTGGAAACAACCTAAATGCCCTTCAACCAAAGAATGGATAAGGAAAATGTGGTACATTTACACAATGGAGTATTACACAGCAGAAAAAAATCTTGAATTTTGCAAGAAAATGGATGGAGCTAGAAAACATTATTTTGAGTGAGCTAACCCAGACACAGAAAGACAATTATCACATGTACTCACTTACAGGTGGTTTTTAAACATAAAGCAAAGAAAGCCAGCCTAGAAACCACAATCCCAGAGAACTTAGACAATGAAAACACTAAGAGAGACTTAAATAGATCTAATCTACATGGGAAGTATAAAAAGACAAGATTTCCTGAGTAAATTGGGAGCATGGGGACCTTGGGGGAGGGTTGAAGGGAGGAGTGCAGAGGCAGGGAGGGGAGCAGAGTAAAATGTAGAGCTCAATAAAAATCAATAAAAAAATAAAAATTACTGTTGTGGCTGCTCCTGTGGAAAGGAGTACAGATAACTTTGTCTCCAGCTGTTCACGACCTGGAGTGCTGTCCATTTCTAACATAGGCTTCAACATATAATTTGTAGCACTTACGAAGAATAAAAATGCACTTAATATGTAATGCCTACATTTCAAACTTTTTACTATTGTAAAGTAAAAGAAATCAGTTATCTGATGTAAAAAAAATGTGTAGGCAATAGAAATCAGTAGTCTGATCTTAAAACTGTGTGGGTGACTCAAAACAAATCTTTTATAAAGACTAAAAGTTGTTTTGCTAAAGGATGACTTATTCTATACGGACTAATTTTTTCCTTCTTAAAACTGTATGCATATTGGTGGTAATTTTGTCTTATTTTAACTTTCCAATTAATAAAAAGCATTTTACAGACTTCAAAAAAGACATCACAATTTAAAGAATACATCGTGATTATTATGAAAGCCTCCATTGCTCCCCTTTGTGCTTTGCCAAATACACCTTCCCACCCCCTGCATAATTATTCTAGACGTAGAGATCCGCATCTCTGTAGGCTTAATACTGAGCCAGACACACGCTGCTCTCGCAGCACTATGTCAGCTGGCAGCTACTTGTAGTTATAAAGTTAAAAGTCATAGACATGGCACGATGCTTTAAGGACAACAATATTCAAACTCGCACAATTTTTTCATACCTCAAGACATCTTTTTATACAGTTCCCTTTTCTACAAGAAGGTCCCATGTCTCAATCTCTCTTAAAAGTCAGACTTTGATAAGGCCCTCTTTCCCCATCTCACTACACCACACTTCTTCCATCAACAACAGCTCCTGTGTGTGGCAAAGATGGATCTAATCCATCACACATTTTGCACTGTGTTCTTTCCTCTTGGAGCATACCAGATCCTACCAACGATTCTATGCTTGGTGTCCGGGGAACTTACTCTCAACAGCTGGCACTCTGTGTGCTCCTTAGGCCTCTTCCCTATTCTGTGTCCGCATGCCTTGCTCTCCTTTCCAGAACTGTGAGACACGGTTAGTGTTCCAAGTGTTGCTTTCTCATACGTACCTATCTCTACCAAGTCAGAAAAGTTCCCAGGATGAGGAATTATAGTTAGCAATTCCAGATAAGAAATTTGAGAAGCATTTAAACTTCTCAGATTTCTTATCTGTTAAAACTTAGGTGAAAATCTTTGAAAAAGAACAGAATTTTCAGGGAAAATTACAAAATTACAGCTATTGCATATGTGACCGACAAAGCTGAAAACTGCACAAAGAATCGCCAATATAATGAGAGGGAAAAGAATCTGTAAGCTGCGTGAGTTTCGCGGATTCCTATGCTGTCCCAAGGACCACTGGTCCTTGCCAAGTGAGTGTCTGTTTCCACAGGTGCCTTGCCTGAGGAAACCAGACAGGTAGTCATATCCTGATCCGAGACTAGGCTGCGTGGCTCCCAGCAATCCACCCTCAGTGGGGTGCCACACTCTGGTGGCGGGCCGAGGGGCGAGCTTTTGCTCTTTTGCCCGGCTTGCCTCTGTGCCTCACTGGTGAGTTTACACGATTCTCAAGCCATTTCCCCTGCTGCTGCCTCTGTTGCTGTTGTTGCTGCCACACTTTACAACTTCTTCCAACTTCCAATATGGACTAAAGACCAGTGGCTCTTCCAGAATTCCAGGGCTTCAGTGTTAGGGTTCCTTAAGGGAACGGAACTAAGGGGAACTAACGGAACTATGAGCCTGTGGAGGTCATTCTCATTCAAACCACCACACCTCGGTGACAGACCGGACCTTCTGTTGTTGGACTACCTAGGCACGACCGTGTTCCTCATCTAATTTGAGAAGTTTATAGATGATAGTGTTATATTTGCATAAACACGTTGTCGGTCAGTCTAGCCTAAAGGGCTGTGCTAGTCAAGAGGTGGTTTCCTTGCATAAAGAAGAGGCGGAGTCATTCAATGGTGTTCACGCCCAGCTTAGCAAACCTCTGGGAGGCACACAATGAAAACTTCTCAGTTTCGACTTCTTGTCCCTGCTTGTAGTGGGGTTGAACTTTTCCCTTCGCCCCTCACATCTCTGAAATTCTATTTTGTATAAACTGGAACTCAAGGAAGACCCCTTTGAGAGTTTTCCACTCCCATGTGTCCCCACCATGTGTACCATGTGAATATACATGTCTCTAACTTTCTATTTTTCTTTTGTAAATCTTTTTTCCCTCCAGCTAAGAATTTTCGGGGGTTGGGGAAGCCTATCCAAATGGATGGCGGGGAGATCACATGCACACGTGACACTCAGGAGGAAGGGTGTTTTAAGAGGATGCCTACCTTAACTGGGGAAGAAACTTCCCTGCTCAAATGGTCTGACCAAAGGTGTAGAATTGCCAGAGAGAGCTGAGCTCAGGCCAATGAGAGAAGAGACGGGGAGGCATGGTCTCATCTTGGCCAAGATCTCCACTTCCCTACCCATTCTGCCTGTTCAGACTCCTGTTTCTGGCGTCCTGGTAAGCGCTGAAGCCCAGAGTTTCACTCTCCCACATCCTGTCCTGATCGCTAGGGGGCAGGCTTACCCCAGCTTCCCGGAAGTCCGGGCCCAGAGGATATTGCGCGCGAAATCCGTCGCCCAAAGTAGGTGCGATCCCCCACCCCCGCGCTGCCCCCGCTGTGCACCAAAGGGGCCTGCTCGGCTGCCCTGTGCTATTGATTGCTACCGCTCTTGGGTCTGGAAGTCCTGATTGCAATCACACAGGCTCCGCGGGCCCCGAAAACCCTGACGGGCTCTCACTCGGCCTTGGTTGGGAGCGCTGCACTGGTCAGATCGCTATGCAAATTGAGCCCCCCCCCCAAATGCTTTGTGTTCCTGCTGGGCTCTGGCTGCGCCCTCCCAAGCCCAAACCCGGGCTCTCTCGGCAGTGCCTTTCCTCCGACCTGGGCTGTTGTGGAGCAGAAGGTTTGCTCCTTCTATGTCCTGCCACCTTGGTGAGCTCCCTCCCCGCCGCCCCCCCCCCCCCGAGATTTACAAAGCAAAATTAAACTGCGGGAAAGTTTCTGGGTTCCCATCTACATCAGCTATTTCTTCTACCATGTAAGACTTGGCCCTTAAGACAGAGAAATCAGAGAGCATTTGTGATAGAGTGATTCATATTTGAGACATTTGGCCACCAGCCACAATTTGGTGTGAATGCTTTAGCGCCTCAGATCCTCACTGTCGCGCTTTGAGGTGAGTGTTGGACCCACAAGAGCACGAATAAGGGATGCTTAGGAAGCTCCTATGTTGTTGGCAGCTAGGAGAGCCCCCTCTGGGGCCCTTTCTTCTTTGTGAATGGAACTGGGACCCCTAATGCACTTGTGACCCCTACTCTCCCCTCCTACTGGTTCCCACCACCATCAGCTCCAGCTCACCTGTCACACAAGATGTAAGCTGCTTGGGAAATAGCCTGGTGTTTTGAAATTGGGGTGAGCTGGTGTCAGGAAAGATAGTTGGTGATCCCGAGGCTGCAGAATGAGAAACAAATGCAGAAATTCAGGAAGCTAAAGCAACAAGTAGATTAAAGTTATTTTTATGTAGCAAGCATGGTGTGGTCTTCACAGGTCCTCAGCAGATTTCTTTGTTGAAACTTTTAACTCGAAAGGGACAAGGGGGGTGATCACACAAACTTGCAAGAAGAGGGAAATATCAGTGTTGAGATGGCTTTAGTTCCAGCTACTAGGGAGGCTGAGAAAGGAGGACCACTTGAGCCCAAGAGTTCAAGGCCAGTGTTGGGTAGCCTGGAGGGTTTGGTGGAGAAGGTTGGGCGCGGGGGCCAAATTTTGTCGGCCCACATTTTACATTGTCTGCCAGTTAGAGAATCTGAGTAGTTTACAAGGCACAATTTGTACCTTTTCCGCTGGAGGGGATTGCCTGGCTCTTTTGTAGCAAAGCAAACAAGGAGCTACCTCAACAGGTGTTAGGATATGTTGATGCCGTTTTGTTTTTTCAATTGTAAATTATGAGGTTACCTAGGGAAGAAGTGTTTTTTAGTCTACCTGACAAAATAGGCTTAGGCAAGACGTGACTTAAGCCATCCCCCATCTAAAAAACAGAATGTTAGTAAAGTTTTTTTAAAGTTTGTGTTGATATAAAAGCTGTTTGGAAAATAAACGTGGGTGACTTTAAGATGGAAATGATCACTAAAACTTCCTCCCGATACTGCCGTGTAAATATTGTCTTTATTTTTACGCCTCCACGTGCCTGGGAAGTCAAATGCTTTGCTTGCCCTGTAGCCAATGAGGACCTGAGTTTTATTCCCAGAACCCACATTAAAATAGCCAGATGTGTACCCTCATAATTCCAGAGCTGGGGAGATGAGACAGGCAGGTCCTGGACCCTACTGGCTAGCCAGTCTAAACTACTTTGCAAACACGAGGACCTAGGGAGAGACCCTACCTCTAAAAACATGGTGGGTAGCTCCCAGAACAACACTGGAGGTTGTTCTTGGACCTACACAAGACAGACAAACTTACAAGGACAAGCAGAAGCCCTTCAGCAGGCCTGAGCATTTGTGTTTTGACAGATGTTCCCTCTTCCTCAGACACCAACTGGACGTCCAGGCTCGGCCTCTTCTCAGGACATGGACAGTGCCTATGGTGATTCTCTGCAAGGAGAGTGCCTCAGAAAGCCAGACAGGAAGCAGCTCAAGCTCTATGGAGTGGGGGACCCTGTGGCCATGTTCTCCTCTGATAGCTCCTGCCTGTCCTCTAGAGGAAGAGTCAGCAAATGGTTCTGGGACTCAGCTGAGGAGGGCTACAGAACCTACCATATGGATGAGTATGATGAAGACAAGAACCCCAGTGTGAGTGAAGACCCCTCCTGGCTGGGAGCCAAGAGAAAACTAACTGCAGGGCAGCCAGCACCCAGCTCGCTCTTGTCAGGTTGGAGTTATGATCCTCTGGTTGCAGGAGAGCTGGTAATTTCAGCTCTGTAGACAGGTCATCTCTGAGATGGGCTGGTAATGTCTGCTCTGTAGACAGAGCATCTCTGAGATGGGCTGATAATGTCTGCTCTATAGACAGGTCATCTCTGAGATGGGCTGGTAATGTCTGCTCTGTAGAAGAGTCAACATTAAGTGAGACCAGGAGTGTGAAATTCACGGTGTATTATATGCTTATCATGTAATACACTTGATAAACACATCATATCACATAATACAGAGTGTATTATATGCTTATCATATAATACACTTGATAAACACAGCTGCTATTATTATTAATATCATCTGCCATGATTACCATAATCTATTATACACAATAACTCTTATTAATAGTTTTGATCTGTTGAACATCCACCAGGTATCAGCGACTGTTCTACGTACTGGTGTCATAGCAGTGAGCAAAACTGCAGTCTCGCCCTATGTATTTATATTTTAGTTGAGACAGACAGATCAGAACTACACATAGCATTTACTGATAGGCACTGCAAAGCAAATGAAGAAAGGGGAAGGTGGACATAGGATGATGGCCCACTGAGAAGTGTTGCTGTATGACGTAGGATGTCATAAAAGGCGACTTTTAATCAGGTGACTTTAGAACAGAGGCGTGAAAAAGGTGAGGCTGTGTTAACTACCCAGTGCTGTAACAAATCACCCCAAACTGCAGCAGCTGACATAGCAAACACTTCCCAGTTGCTGGAGCTCAGGACTCCTGGTGGGCGTGTCCGGCTCAGGGGTTTCTGTCACAGTACCCTGAAGCTGCCCTGTGCATCTGAAAGTTTGACTGCGTGGTGGGGCTTGGACAGGTGAGAGGCTCTATCTCCAAACTCACTTCTGTGGCTCCTTGTTGGGCACCTGTTCCTCTCCACGTGGACTGCCTCAGGTATGGCAGCTGACTCCTTTCAGGGCAGATGTCTCAAGACAGAATGAGAGACTGTGAGTACCCAGCACGGGAGCCACTCGCTTTTGTGACCTAGCCTTAGAGGTGACATCCCAGCATTTCTGCATGTTCTCCTCATCAGGGGCAGGTGGCAGATTCAGTCTCTGCACAGGGTGCCATGGTAGAGGCTGCCCACCCCAGGAGCCGTACAGCTGAGGGAATAGCTAGTCTGAGGGCCCAGCCTGGAACTGTGCTGGATCAGATCAATGACCAGCAAGGGAACCCTTGGGCTGCAGTAAAGCCAGACTGGGGGTGATGGGGTCAGGAAGGCTCTAATATTGTAGGGCCTCGTGGGACATGGTGAGCGTTCTTTCTGTAGACAGAGCTGGGTAGGAAGTGTTCAGGGGGGAGCAGTATGCATGATGAAGTTTCAGTTTTCCATTTGAAGACGGATGACAGGCAGGGGAGTGGACAGGAGAGGAGATGGGGAGCTATGGCAGTGATCGTGGTGACTTGCACTTGGATCTTGGCAGTGGGGCGTCACAAGAGGGTAGCTGAGTGTGCTGTAACTGTAGAGCTATTGGGATTTGGAGACGCGTTGCCTGTGTCTGGAGGAAACGGTTTCCTTCCCAGGGGTGGTGAACATTGCCTGTTATTTGTGTAACTCTCAGCTCCTTCAAGTTAATTCTTTTGTTTCTCTTGCTTCCTTTGTTCCTCATGTAAGGCAGGAGTCAGACGTCCGAGCCTCCTACTAGGATTAACACCTTATGGGGTGGCAAGCAGACATTGTGGCTCTTGGTTGGCATTCCTTTGCCATGCTCACCTACCTGTACACTCTGTCTGCAGGGCATCATTAACTTGGGCACCAGTGAGAACAAACTCTGCTTTGACCTTCTGTCCAGGCGGGTGAGTCCTGCGGCTGCTATCACCAGGGCCTTCATGAATCCTTTGCTACAGTACCTTGCTGCACGCCTCACTGGCCCTGACTGAAGAGCTGGCAGGTTTGCCTTGGGAACAATTCCGCTCCCTTCCCCTCTCCTCCCCTCCCCTCCCCTCCCCTTCCCTCCTCTCCCCAGCCTAACCCTGTCTGCCATCAGAACTACATCCATCTCTGTTCCTTAATTTCTTTTTATTTTTACTGGGGATTGAACCCAGCACTCACACAGTCTAGGCAAGCTGAACTATGCCTTCTACCTTCTTAACTTTTTACTTTAAGGCAAGGCCTAAGTTCCTCAGGCTGATCTTGAGCTTATTCTGCCAGGCAGGCCTTGGATTCGGAATCCTCCTCCCGGAACCTCCAGTGTAACTGGGATTCCAGGCCTGTACCCTCAGGCCTGGCTTCTATGGCTGTTTCTAATATAGCTTGTAAAATTCCTTAAAATTTCATCAGATTATGTGTATGGGTGCTTTGCTTTCGTGTATGTCTGTGCACCAGGTACATGCCTGGTGCCTGCTGAGGCCAGAAGAGGGAGTCTGCTACCCTGGAACTGTAGTTAGAGTTGTGAGGCACCATGTAGGTGCTGGGAGTTAAACCCAGGTCCCAAGAAGCTGAGGCAGGAGGAGTGCTGTGAGCCTGAGGCCATCTTGGGCTTCACAGTAAGTACCAAGAGAGCCAGGGTCACACAGCAAGAGCGTGCCTCAGTTCTACGAAAGTGGAAATAGCTAGAATTGGTTTCGGTAATATTTAATTTACCTAATATATCTAAAGTATGACCTTTTAAGCTGGTAATAAATATACAATTATTGATATTTATTAATACTTGTTTTTATGAAGTATTTACAGTTCAGACCAGTGGCCTAGTAAGTGCTAAGTAGCCTCAGATACCAGTGGCTTCTTTGTTGAACCTGCTGTAAGGGGCGACAGGAGGGCGGGACCCTGTGGGACCCAGGGTTAGAGAAGTAGGTAATTTCAATTTTTTTGGTCCCCTGCCCAAGGACACTATGCTATTGGCTCTCTTTGACCGTATAGCCAGTATAGATCCAGTACCTGTCTATACAAGGAATGGTCTAAAATTTGCTGCCACACACAAAGGGTGAGATTGAGTGGAACCCTCAGGAGACAGTGTCCTAGTCCCCTCTCTAAAGCTGGAGCCAAGGCCAAGCTGACATCACCCTGCTCTGGAGCGTGCACTGACCTCTGGGGACACTGAGCAGTGTGCCCTTCCACCACTGCTTCTGTGCCCACCAGACTCTGATCGTGCTGTACAGAGAGCTAGAGTCAGAAGCTCTGGATATGGTTTGCTGGCTTTGCCTTCACTCTGCGAGCCCTGGGTGGCTTCTCTGTGAAATGGCCCGGGAGTGCTGTCCTGCATTCCTGTCTCCTTCCTCGGGGAGCAGAGGAAACCAGCTGCTGTGCAGATGCAGGTGACAGTTCAGCCCTCTGCCTTGCTCTGTTCCTTTTGTGTCCCCAGCTGAAACAGAATGACATGCTTCATGTGGAGCCCTCACTGCTGCAGTACCCGGACTGGAGGGGACATCTGTTGTAAGTGTCGCCATAGGCTGGTGGGTCTCAACGGGGGGGGGGGGGGGATGATGACCCCAGGGAGGCACGGTAGTGCCTGGGCACATCTGTGGTTGAAGGTCTACTGCCCAGGGATGTGCTGTTAAACTACAAAGCACAGGGAAGCCTCTCAACAAAGAATTGTTCCATCCACATATCGGTAGAGGCGGAGTGAGGGAGCTGGTTGTAGGCTAAGAACATAGTGTGGAGACCCAGTGACCAGGGGCTGTCCTGCCAGCCCCAAATCCATCCCCGTATTCCTAAGTCTGAGGAGAGTGAGGAGACTGTCCCCTGCTTTTCCAGTAGCTTTAGAGATGACAGATGGGTGTCTAGGGAGCTGGCTGAGACTCACTCTCAATGGTAAGATAGGCTGCTGTATACTGATCATCTCCTGGAGGTCAGACAAGCCTAGCAGGACTTGATCCAAGATGTATTCTGAAGCTCATATTCTTAGAAAAGGGTCATCAGGATGGTGGACCCTGGGGCAGGGGCTGTGCCACTTACCAGCAAGTGATTTAATTCCCTCAAACCTCAGTTTCTTTGTAAAATGGGAATGATAGTAACCATAGTTACCATGGAACATTCTCCAAATGACATATGTGTAATATTGATGCTCAATAAGAACCACAGTAACAGCCAGGTGGTGATGGCACACACCTTTCATCCAAGTACTTGAGAGGCAGAGGCAGGCGGATCTCTGTGAGTTCGAGACCAGCCTGGTCTATAAGAGCTAGTTCCAGGACAGGCTCCAAAGCTACAGAGAAACCCTGCCTCGAAAAACCAACCAACCAAACAAACAAACAAAAAAGCACGGTAACATCAGTTCCTATTATGATAATGTTTATTATTATTGTTTTCATCAGCTAGATCTATGTAGTGTTTGTTTTCATCCACTGTGTGGGAAGGTGGATATTCTAGAACCACACAGAATGCGGCTGGATGGGGGAGGGTGTGCTGGCGTGGAGACAAATGCCTACCACATCCACCCCTGGGAAGGGAGGACAGAGCAATGGCAGCTAGCCACCTGCAGTTCCCAGACAGGCTCTGGAGTGGACAGGACTGAGACCCTCTGACAAGTGTCGTACTTGTGGTTCTGTCCTAGCCTGCGGGAAGAAGTGGCAAAGTTCTTGTCTTTCTACTGTAAGAGCCCGGCGCCCATGAAACCAGAGAACGTGAGTCACCCCTTCCTTATGGGTGTGGGGTGGGAGGGTGCTTTCACTTAGTCTTGCCTCCCAAACTCATTGTGCTGTGTCCTTCTTGACCCCCTCACCTTTGAGAGAGACCCTCAGAGTGGCCAGTTCTGTCTCTTGTTCAGTTGATCAAGAGCAGGGTCCCCAGAAGTAAGCTTGGCTGGGAACCTAGAAAGACCTTCATCAGAATGGATTCTCAGGGCCCTGGGGAGAGGCCTGGGTCTTCCCCTGGTCCTTGCTCTTCTCTGTCCTCAGACAGTCACCTTTGTCTCTTGACACCCCTAGGTGGTTGTTCTGAATGGCTGCGCCTCGCTCTTTTCCGCTCTGGCCACAGTGCTCTGTGAGGCAGGAGGTAAGTGAGCTCCGTGCCCCCCTTCCTCAGCTTTGTCCCAAGGCTGGGCTGTGAACCCAGTTGCCTGGCATCAGAACCGCATCAGGACACCTTCAGCAATAGGAGAATATAAGAGATTACAGGGCCTTAAGTGTGTGGATTAACCAGACATCTGGGGCAGCAGTTCTGATGAGATCCATATGGTGTCAGGGTACTGCTTTCTCTCTCTGAGTCCCTCCACTTTCCCTCCATGTCAGGTCATGGTGACATCTTCTCTGACACCGTCTTATAGCAAGGAAAAACGACAGTAGCAGCAAGCCAGTCTCTCTCCTGTTGGGCAGGGCATCGAGGGTGCTCCTTCTCAAAAGGATCCCAGTGCGACTCTTACCAAATAGAAATTACATGTAAACTTAAAGGAGTCCCTGGCAAACGGCCTAAGGGAGTCAGTGTCGGCTTAGTCCAGACTGGTTCATGCCATGGCTGGGGAAGGACTGACTTGGATATACTGTGGGTCATATTTCAAACAAACAAAACAAAACAAACGAATACATCAAACTAAACAAAAGCCATTTTTTTTTTCTCGCTGCAAGGAAGGAAATTGGATGGCTATTGAATAGACAGCCAGCTGCTCTAAGAGGCACTGTGTAAGAGCTGGTTGTAGCTAAGGGTCAGTTGTTGTAAGGTTAGAGTCCTGCTCACAAGAGTCTAACTAATAAGTTAACACTGGTCACATCCGGTCACCAGATACTGCATTCCGGGCTAGGTCATGTGGCTTTATTCCTCTATGACATGGATTCTTTGACTAAACCCATTTTACCTGTGAGAAGACTGAGGCCAGACGTTAAGTAAAAGAGTCACACAAACAGAAGCAGTCACCAGGACTTGAACCCTAAAGGGAGATTTGCCGTAAGAATATGATGGACAAGTTCTTATTCAGTCTGGAACAGTCAGATGCAGGGACCCTATGGGCTCCCCCATTCTACCTGCAGGCGACCATGAGATCTTGAGTCAATGCCGATTCTCTGCCCTGTTTCAGGCCCTAAGTTAGGATGTTCAGGAGGATAGGTAGATCAAATGCATTTTTTATGATAACTTATAGTGGATTGATTTGCATGTGATCCCATTTTAAGTGAGCATCTATATTAGAAAGTCTGACCTTAGGGGATCCAAGCTTTAAGGTTTGGGGAGTTGAGAGGAGTCAGAATATGTTCCAGATATTTCCCAAGGATGATGGAGGCTTGGGAGGGCTGCGGATTTCTTGATAGGTGTCTGGGGTATTTAAGTCAGAGGCCAATGAGCGGCTACTCCTTCTCCTAGAGGCTCTCTTGATCCCCACCCCTTACTATGGAGCCATTACCCAGCATGTCTATCTCTATGGCAATGTCCGACTGGCTTATGTCTACCTGGAGAGTGAGGTAAGATTGCCTATACTCTAGTTCTTGCATCTGGATCTTCCTGTAGGCCAGGGTTTGCTGGGTCTGAATTTGTGGGCGGACCTGAAGGAATCCTGTGCTTTGGGGCTGCTGTGAAATGGAAGTGGAGCCTCTGCCTGGGTTCTCTGGAAGCTCCAAGCTACAGGCTCTAGGATTGCTGGGTCCACAGAGAAGCCTAGAACTAGCCCTAGAAATGAGAGGGTGGGAAGGGGGAAGCTTATGCCTTGGAAGTCCTGAGAGCCAATGAGAGCATCCTCGCTGCCTCTGCCAGATATCTGAGTGATGAGGGATGTCCCTGTTGTAAAGGTAGGGGCAGAAGGCCAGAAGGGGAAGTGTCCCTGCCCATTTTCCAGAGGCCGGACCCAGAAGACTGGAGATGATAGGGGAGGAGAGACCCAAGAGTTCAAGTTTGGGGTGGGAGTGGGGCACTGGATTTGGCTGCTGTCTTTGGTGGGTCTTTTCCCAGGTAACTGGATTGAATGCACGTCCCTTCCAGCTCACAGTGAAGAAGCTGGAGTTGGCCCTGCAAGGAGTTAATTCTGAGGTCTGGGGAATCGGTCAAATCCAGGGCTGTGAGTGGGTGGCCCCAGCAGGGACTCCCTTCATCTCTCAGGAGTTGGGTTTGTAACTTTTATAGGGACATATGAGGAGGAGTTGCTGAACTGTCCTTGGGCGGGTGGCGGGTGTCAGGCAGAATCCTGTGTCTTTGGAGGGTCTTCCTATTAGAAAATGACCCTGAAACCTCAGTGTACAATTTCCCCTCACAAGAAAGGGTAATAGGAGGTGTTGGGTTTGGATCAAATTGCCTATCTGCATGGAAATGCCAAGAGTGAAGCCCTCTGTTGTTTTCAATGAATGTGTGTGTCTTAGTCACTGTTCTGTTGCTGTGAAGAGACACCATGACAAAGGGAACTTGTAAAAGAAAGCATTTCACTGGAGTCTTGCTTACAGTTTCAGAGAGTTAGTCCATGATCATCATGGCAGGAAGCAGACAAGCAGGGCACTGTAGCAGTAGCCGAGAGTTTTACATCTTGATCTTATAGGCAGCAGGCAGAGAGAGACTGGGCTTTTGAAGTCTCAAAGCCCACTCCAAGTGATACACCTCCTTCAGCAAGTCCACACCTTCCCTCATCCTTTCCAGACAGGTCCACTAAAGACCAAGCATTAAAATGAAGGAGCAAATAGGGCAAACCACCACAGTATGCTAATTAAAAGAACACTCCCTCATCCCAGTTCCTTTGTTTCTCCTTCAGGTACAAATGTGGCTCATGGTAGTCTATAGTGTAGTGAGTTTCTCTGGCAATTTGAGGGGTGATCCTGCTCCTTTTGGGGGACTTCCTAGTAAAGGCAGAGACCCAGGTTCCTATGCTTCCTGGCCATTTTCAGCATCTGTGCACTTCACATTGAGGTCACTGAGGTCACTGGGGTGGTTACCTTTGTCATTCAAGCTCCCTAGTGCTCATGGCAGGAACTGTGGAAGTCTCCAACTTCCTCGTAGAATTCCTCCCACTCAAACAGCCTCTCTGCCAGCAGCTGGGCACACTTCCCCATTTCCTGCCTGCGTTCTTCCCACGGTTGGCACGACACAGCAGACGGAACTCTAGTCCCATTGATTTGCTTCTTGTTGGGTCATGAGTGTGCCCCTGCCATGCTTCCCTGGGATTCAGGCAGCTTTAGGTTCTAGGGTTGGGGGGACACAGTAACACCCCCATGCATGGTTTTAGGGTGTCAAGGTCAAAGGCCTCATCCTCATCAACCCCCAGAACCCTCTGGGTGACATCTACTCCCCTGAAGAGCTACAGGAGTTCCTGGGATTTGCCATGAGGTAAGCTACACCTCCCCTATGAAGTGAGCAGACATAGCTCGGATGTGAGCCTTGGGGCAGGTGCCTATGCCTTCTTAGCTCACTGGCCTACTACCAGCTTTGGTGTCTTTCTGTCTTCTCAAAACACCAGCTGCAACACTAGGGCCAGGCCCCATGCTGAACATTTATAATTTTTTGTATGTTAACCTGTGTTCATGTGTATAGTTGAATGTGGAGGACGGAGGTCATTCCTTAGACGCCTTCTAATAGATTCTGAGAAAGTGTTTCACTGATCTGGTATACTAGGCTGTCTGAAATCCTCTTGTCCTTACTTCTCCAGCACTGGTATTGCATGTGCATGCCACCAGGCCCATGTGTTTAGCAGGTTATGGGTATCAAACTTGGGTCTTGTTTGCAAGGTGGCTCTTTACTGAGTGGGCCGTGTTCCCAGCTGAGCATCGTCTGTGCTGTCTCTATGGTCGTCATCACAACAGCCCCATAGAAACGGATTCTATCATCATCGCTGCTTGACAGAGCCTCAGAGTGGTCTAACTATGAGTGGGAATGACATGAATCTGAGTCCATTTGTCTCCAGCCCGCCATGGAGGACCCCAAGGGTGCCTCCTCCCCTTCCCCCCGCAGTACATCAACAGCTCTATCTATAGTCCTCTGCTTTATGGATGTAGCTTCTATTTGTGAAATTATAGACCAAATCAGGGTGTTCCTGGGATCAAATTGGGTTGTTTCTGGGATAAGCTGGTTTGAAGCCCTGGGGTAGTCTGTGGTCCTTTGACAAAGCTTCTCAATGCTGACTGACGTATTTTGGCTCCCTCTTTCCCACCATCTACCCACTGCAGGCACCAGCTTCACGTGATCATGGATGAGGTTTACATGTTGTCCGTGTTTGAAGAGTCTCTTGGGTACCGGAGTGTCCTGAGCCTGGAAAGGTGAGGAGCTCACTGCAGCTGATTCTCCAGCAGTTTCCCAGCCTCTTTCTGGGTCAGCCTACAGGCCATGGCTTGCCCCAGGGCAGTTCCATTAATGTCTATTTGATCTTGCTGGTCTTCAGACCAGGAAGATTAGGTAGATCAGGGGTCTTCAGATTATTCTATGACGTTCCCAAGAGCTTCAAGGAGGGCCTTGGCAATGTTTGAAGAAGCATTGGGTCTATGAGAACTGGACTCCTGCTGTTTCCTTCCTCTTCAGAGCGGTTCTAGTTCCTTCTGTCTGTCCATCATTCCTTCTGTCTGTCCATCCATCTCCCCATCCATTCATCTATCCCCTGACACACTTCATCCTTCCACGCACCTACTCATCGATTTGTCTATCAGATTTCTACCTAGGAAAAGGTCTCAGCAGCTAAAGGCACAGCTAGCAATTTCCATGACAGTGGCAAGAAGCACTAAGGTGGAGGTGGCTGAGAAGCTAAGAGGCCTGGTTTCCTGGGGTTGATCAGACAAGCCATTTGACGAAGTGGTGCTGGACCTGCTTTCCAGCTCAGAGGTCAGGCTCATGGCTTCTCACTCAGCTCCCACAGATATGTGGAGCAGTGAGCTTGGCTGTGTTCTAATGATAGTTACAGGAATAGGCAGCAGGCTGGCCCCCATGCTAACGGAAGCATGGGTGTTGGTGATTCAAAGACAAGACGCCCAGCTTCATCTCTCCATGTATCTATTCACTGGCATGTCTGTGATCTCCTGGCTCTGGGTTGCTTATATCTCCTTGTTCTGCTCTCTGTAGGCTGCCTGACCCCCAGAGGACACACGTGATGTGGGCCACCAGCAAGGTGAGTCTCTGGCTAGCCTGGGCGAGAGGGGGTGGAATTAGTTTCTCCTGTGGAAACTGGCCACAGCTATCATGCATCTTCTTGTAGGACTTTGGAATGTCTGGACTCCGCTTTGGCATCTTGTACACAGAAAATCAGCATGTGGCTACTGCTGTGGCCTCCCTCTGTCGCTACCATGGTCTCAGCGGCCTGGTCCAACACCAGATGGCACAGCTGCTCCGGGACCATGGTGATTTGTCTGGCTCTTACAGGAGGGGTGGGGTTGTAATGTGTGTGGGACTTGGGGCTCACGGGTGCCTCCCCTGTGGAGGAGCTGAGGTGATGTCTTGCAGTGTTGTTATCTCCTCACCCTCATCCGGAGAATAGGGCTGATGATGGTGCTAGTCTTGTTGGCCGAGTGTGGCCTGCAATTTGTTTAGAACAATACATGCCATAAAACAGGCTCTTGACGAATGTGAACTCACTGATCAGGCACAGTGCTATGTGTCTGTTCTTCTAGCTACTTGGGGGGCTGAAGGAGGAAGATCCTTCCAGTTCAGGAGTTCCAGGCTAGCCTGGGCAACATAGCAAGATTCCACCTTCAAAAACGAACTTTAGTTACCGTTGAACACAGATCAGAAGTTCCTGAGGAAATGTCAGTATGATGGCCAGCTCTCTTGGATCGTTCCCGCCTTCAGCAATGAGTTGAGAGAGCAACGCTGTCCTGTAATTGTTGCTCTTCACTGAGTCTCTCAGATGTTCTTTTGGTCCACCTCATTTCCCTCCCCAGGGCCTTAGGGAGAATTCCTACGGTTCCCCTTGTCTTGCAGGTGTGGAAAAGGAGGATCAGGTACTAATTACCAATCTAATAGCCTAAAAAATTTTAGAAACAGCGGCGATACCTACTGAATGTTGACAAAGGCGGTGGAACAGCCAGGAGACTTGCCCTTACATTGATGGTGGGGACAGGAGGTGAAAAACAATTTGGCAATTTCCACTGAACACACCTATCAAATAACCCAGTGGCAACAGGCCCAAGTGAGAAACTGTGATGGTCACACAAAAACCTCTGCATGAATGCTGCTAGCTGTTTTTTTTTTTTTTCATAATCACCCACATCTGCAAACTGCTCCACAGGGGAGTTTATACACAGATGTGTCCCGTCCACACCGTGGAATACTTATGCCAATAAAGTCCATGGCAGTGTGGATTTCTCCCAAAGACACTGTGCTATTGAGAGAAGCTTAGGGTCAAGACTTTACATACCCTATGAGGCTGGTTTTGCTGACATTTAGGAATGAGCAAGACTGTCATGTGTGTGACATATCAGTCATTGGGATAGTCTTTGGGGTTATTTAAATCCTGATTGTGGTAGTACTTTCAAAAATGTATGAATGTGTTATAATCCATAGAGTGTGTACCCCTCAAAAGAGGTCAATAAATCTATGACGACCAGAGAGGTGAAGTTGCTGAAGGCTTCCTTTTCCCAAGATGCCCCACTGGGATAGGGATTTGATCTGTGTGGATCTAAGTATCACTTTGTACCTGCAGACACCTTTGGCTTGGTTCACATCCTGGGGGACTTTGTACCCTGGGCTCCTGAATGTGGTGTGGGAGCTGGCACTCAGGGCTGTATACCTGGATCAAAGGCACTTTGTACTGATCACTGAACTCCCAGCCCCTCTGAACCCATGACTCAGGAAGCCAGAAAGAAGGACTCCTGTGGTGTTGGCTGCCATGCCCTTTTGTCTTTCAGCGTGTAGATTAATGCAGCGATCCAAGGCAGTTTTAGATTCCTGCTTCCCTTCCCTTTAGACTGGATCAGCCAGGTGTACCTGCCAGAAAACCACGCCCGGCTCAAGGCTGCCCATACCTATGTCTCAGAGGAGCTCAGAGCCCTGGGGATACCCTTCGTGAGTCGTGGGGCAGGCTTCTTCATCTGGGTTGACTTAAGAAAGGTAAATAGGGTGGAGCTGTGGGTCGAGGGGATGTCGGCAGGGGAAGCCCCGTAGGGTCTCCTGCGTCCTGAGCTACTTCTTTCCTTCCAGTACCTGCGCAGAGGCACCTTTGAGGAGGAGGGGCTGCTCTGGCGCCAGTTTTTGGACAACAAGGTGCTGCTCTCCTGCGGGAAGACCTTCGAGTGCAAAGAACCCGGCTGGTTCCGGGTGGTCTTCTCAGACAAGGAGAACCGGCTCCACCTGGGTGAGCAGTCTCTTCCCCCCAGCCTCCCAACAGCATCCTTCCAGCGACCCCTGCTTCTGACCTGATCAGCTCCCTACTGACCACTCCTCGCTTCTTCCCAGGAATGCAAAGGGTGCGGCAGGTGCTTGCAAGGCAACCTCAAGTGGTAGACGAGGCCTCTCCCTGTCACACTCAGGAGCCAAGTACCCAGTCTGTGTGAGCAGGCCATTGCCTCACAAGCACCCACTGTCCCTCATGACCTGGACAAGAAAGGCCACGGGAGATTAAATGTGGATTGCCGTTTGTCGACAGGACTTGTCACTTGGCTTTGGCCTTGAAGAGCCCTCCCTGCTGGCAGTGTGAAGCTGTTTAAACTGATGCTATTCTGGGCTGTTGCTGTCCTCTGTTCAGTGGGACTGGGACCAGCCAGCCAGATGCCTGTACTGTCAATAGTGTACAGGATAGGGAGTCCTGACTGTTCCTAACCACAGCTCCTCTCTAGGACAAGAGTAAACAAGCAACTGTTCATTCTTTGTGATGGTGCCTTCATGCCTTCCTTGTTGCCAGGAAAACAAGCCAGAGGAACTGTGTACACACACACACACACACACACACAAACACACAAACACACACAAAGTGATAGCATTCCAAGATGTATGGGGTGAATTTCGTTTGTTCGGGGTTGGGTGCCCAGAACAGGCCTCAGCTTGGGATGCAGAGAGCAGAATTCTGTGGTGGGGAAGCTGTGGCTCCTCAGAAGGCTAAAATGCCCCATCAAGTTCTGAAACACACCTCCACTTACCTAGGAAGAAGATACACCTTCACTGGCTCCCACAGCAGTAGCCTGGCAATGGCTGGAGAGGAGGCCCAGTGGTTAAGAGCACTTGCTGGTCTTCAGAGGACAGGAGTTCAGTTCCCAGAGCTCACAGTGGGCAGCTTATGGCACATGTGTGCCTGTGCATGCACACACACACGCACACACACACAAATAAACCATAAAAAGGAATCTCAGGTGGACCATTCATGTGTCCATTGCTTTCTGCCATTTTCTTGGTTGGTCTGTACATTCCCATTTTCCTATTTTGTGGTTTTCCCTATCATTGGTTTATTTTTCTCCCTTTTCTTAGATTTTTCTGGGTTTCCTCCTGTCTTATGGTTTTTATTGCTGTGAAGAGACCATGAGCTTGGCAACTTTTATAAAGTAAAACATTTAAGTAGGGAGGCTCGCTTATAGTTTCAGTTTCATAGGTTCAGTCCATTATCATGGTGTGCTGTGGGACAATGGCCTTTTATCCTGTCACTTGTATTATTTTAATAAAGAGCTGATTGGTCAGTAGGCAGGCAAGAAGTATAGGCGGGGTGACCAGGCAGGAAGTAGTAGAGGTAAGGCAATGAGAACAGGAGAATTCTGGGAAGAGGAAAGAGTAGCCTGCAGTCATCACCCAGCCACAGAGGAAGCAAGATGAAAACACCTCACTGCTAAAGGTACCAAGCCACGTGGCTAACACAGACAAGAATGATGGGCTAATTTTAGATGTAAGAATTAGTTAATAAGAAGCCTGAGCTAATAGGCCAGCCAGTGTTATAATTACTGTAAGCTTCTGTGTGTTTCTTTGAGACTGAATGGCTGTGGAATCAGGCATGACAGAAACCTCTGTCAACAATGGTGGGGAGCATTGTGCAGGCAGACATGGTGCTGGAGCTAAGAATGCTACATCTTGCAGGCAACAGGAAGCTTGAACAAAAGAGACCTCAACACCTGCCTCCACAGTGACACACTTCCTCCAAGAAGGCCATAACTCCTCATAGTGCCACTCCCTTTGGGGGCCATTTTCTTTCAAACCATCACATTCCCTTTCCTGGGCCCCAAAGGCTTATTGCCATATCATAATGCAAAAAAATACATCCAGTCCAACTTCAAAAGTTGCTATAGTCAATAGTAGTCTCAAACTTGTTTCAAAGTCTCTTCTGAGATGCATGACAATCTTTTAACTTTGATCCCCTTGTAAAAATCAAAATCCAAAAGCATACCATAGTGAGGAAATACTGGACCAAAATGAGAATGAAAACCAACTGAGAAACTCCAAATTCTGCATCTTCATGTCTGCTGTCAAATGCTCTTCAGATCTCCAACTCTGATCAGCTTTGTTGACTGCCACACACACTTCTCTCTCTTGGATTGGTTCCACTCCCTGTTAGCCGGTGCCTTTGGCAGGCATTCCATGATTCTGGTATTGCTAACATCTTAGGTTCTCCAAGGCAATCCAGGCTTCAACTTCACAGCTTCGTGCAATGGCCTCCCTGCTAGGCCTCCATTCAGGGACACTCCAACACATGCCTGGACTGACCAGCTTTATTCTATAACTCCTATCCTTAACTCTAAAGCCAAAACAATGTGGCCAACGCTGCTGAGTTCTGCTTGCTGGGGCTGGAACATGGCCCCCTCATTCAATTACATCTTCACCAGCTTTCTGTCCTTTACTACCTAAGCGTGGCTGTCCTGAAACTTGCTCTGTAAATCATGCTGGCCTCAAACTCAGAGAACCACCAGCCTCTATCTTCCCAGGGCTGGGATTAAAGGTGTGCCCCACCACACTCTGGCTCTAAGCTTTTTTACTTGTTAATCTGTTTATCTCTTTGAGCATAGCATTTAGCTCCATTCCATTTCCTAGTGCTCTCAAAATTCTCAAAATTTTCATTTTGTCATTTATCCTGATGAATTTGCTCCTTTTCATTATAAATCATCATTACAATTATCATTGAAAAACAGAGTCTATACTAGGTTGTTTTGAGATTTCTTCTGCCAATGGAATTAATCCAAAACCCTTTGCTTTAGCCGCAGGCAGACTCTTTGGACAAGGGCAAAGGGCAGCCACTCTCTTCACCAAAATATCACAAAAGCGATCTCTAGGTAACATACTAAAATTCTTTTCCTATGAAACCTCTTGAGTGAGCACCCCCACAGTTCATTAAATCATACTCCATACCACTGCCTTCCATGTTTTTACTAGTACAGCCCATTAAGCAGCCCTTAAAGCATCCCACTACTTTTCTAACCCAAACTCCCAAAGGCCATTTTACTCCAAACAATATCATGGTCAGACTTATCACAGCATTATCCCAGTCCTTGGTACCAACTTCTATCATAGTGAGGATTTTTATTGCTGAAAAGAGAAATCATGGTCATGGCAACTCTTATAAAGTAACACATTTAATTGGGATGCCTCGCTTACCATTTCAGAGGTTCAGTCCTTTATCATCATGGGGGCGAGGAGCATGGCATGCAGATACTTTAGAAAGAATGTTTGAAGAAGTAAAAAAAAAAGTTTTACCTAAATGGGGATTACAAATTGCTCCTGAAAAAACACAGAGGACATTCTGTCAATTACCTAGGTTACAAAATAGGTTTGTAGAAAATTAGAACACAAAAGGCACAAATTAGGAAAGACCAATTATGAACTCTTATGACTTTCAAAGATTGTTAGGAGATATTTTCAGTCTATGACTGGCTGTTGGGATAGAACCTGACCTAATAGTCTATTTAAACAAAACCTTAGATGGTGACAAAGACTTGAATAGTTCCAGAGAATTAACAGAGGAAGTGGAAAAAGAATTGATGGTTGTTAAAGAGAAATCAGAGGAGGCACATGTAGATAGACTGAATCCAAATCTTAATTGTATTCTAGTCATATTGCCTTCCAGAAATTCCCCTACATGAATTTTAATGCAGAGGGAAGATCTTACCTTAGAATGGATCTTTTTTTTTTTTACCACATAAACCAAGTAAAAAATTAAAAACTTATGTGGAAAAAGTTTCTGAATTAATTATAAAAGGAAGTTGAGATGTCATCAACTAGCAGGTATAGACCCAGCAGGGATTATAGTGCCTTTTACTGCTGATGAAATAAAAAAAATTATGGGAAGATAATGAACCTTGGCAAAGAGCTTGTGCTAATTTTTGGGGAGGAATTAATAAGAATTATCCCAAAAGTGATAGAATTAACCTTATAAAGAGAACTACTTGCATTCTTCCCCGAATTGTATGTGATGCACCAATAACTGGAGCCCGTACATTTTATACTGATGCAAAAAAAATCAGGAAAAGCAGGCTACAAATTAGAAGATATAAGTAAGGTGGAACAAAGTCCTTATAATTCTGTCCAAAAGGCAGAATTATATGCCATTCTCATGGTGCTAAGGGATTTTAAAGAACCTCTTAATATAGTTACTGATTCACAATATGCAGAAAGAGTTGTTTTGCATATTGAAACAGCTGAATTTATACCAGATGATACAGAATTGACTTCATTATTCATACAGGTTCAAAATATAGTGAGGAATAGGCTTTGTCTCATATACATAACACACATCTGATCCCATACAGGTCTGCCAGGTCCTCTAATACAAGGTAATGCAGAAATTGATCAGTTATTGATTGGAAGTGTGCTGAAGGCCTCAGAATTTCCTAAGAAACATCATGTCAATTGCAAAGGTTTAAAGAAGAAGTTTTTTATTACATGGCAATAAGCTAAGGACATTATAAGGAAATGTCCTACTTGTTCTTTATATAACCAAACACTACTACCTGCAGGAAGTAACACAAATGGTACTGAAAGTAATGAAATCTGGCAGATGAATGTGTTACACTTTACAGAATTTGGAAAATTAAAATATGTACACCATACTATTGACACTTATTCAGGTTTTCAATGGGCAACTGCCTTGAGCTCAAAAAAGGCTGATTCAGTAATCACACATTTATTAGAAGTTATGACCATCATGGGTATCCCTGCACAAATAAAGACAGACAATGGCTCAGCATATGTGTCTAAGACAATGAAAGAGTTTTTTGCTTATTATAATATAAAGCATTATTACAAGTATACCAAACAATCCTACATGTCAGGCAGTTATAGAAAGATCAGATCAAACTATAAAGTATATGCTAAACAAACAGGAAAGGATGGAAAATACCCCCAGAAATAGATTGCATAATGCTTTATTAACCTTGAATTTTCTTAATGCCAATGAGACAGGAACAGTAGTGGAGAGTCATTGGATAATAGAAAAAACTTCTGAATTAAATCAGTCAGTATATTTCAAGAATGTGTTGACCTCACAATGGAAATCAGGAGATTGCTACATTAGGGAAGGAGTTTCACTCTTGTTTTCACAGAAGAAGAAAAGTTATGGATACCATCAAAATTGATAAAGATTCTGTTTGAAAAAGAGAAACCTTTTAAGAAAGAGAAATGATGGCTCATCCACAGAGGTGGTAAGAAAACCTCATAAGGGTTGGGGCAGGGCTCTGTTCTTGTCTTAGCAGGAAAATATTCATCTTCAAAGAGTGGAGAGACCTTGGACATCTATATGCCTAAAAATAAAAAGATGGCTATTTAGAAAGAATCAACAAGCAAAGAGAAATTTGCCTTATGATGCTGTATTATCTGCATGGTAAAATTTGATTATTTGGACATGTATACATCTCTACTTAAAAATAAGAGCTGGCTTTGGATTTGGACAATGGCTATCC